GTGGATTGGCCCAGAGGGAGCAATGTCCAAAACACATGCTCACCATCTGATTATACAAGTAGCCTGTACCACAAGAGTGAACAACAAGTGACAACAGGATTGCCTTAAAGCTCTCTCACACTGATTTAGCCTTAAATTAGGCTTTATCTGAGCCCTATTTAAAATTAACAACTTATGTAGCAAAACTGAAAGCTTTGAGAGCTACAAATGAAGCCTCAATCTGCCAACACAAACAGGATAAATGGAATTGATTCATAAAAATTGCAATTAATTTTCAAAGGAAACATTTTTAGAGACCACCTATTATTTTCTGACAATTTGTCTACAATCAGAGGACTTTAACTTAAGCATCAATACCATATCAGAAGAAATATTTCATGAAAAATAAAAACAAATTTCTTCCTTGATCCTAGAGCTTGCCCTCACATACAAAGCAGAGTATCCAGGCTTTCAAAAGAGAGTTTTCAATCCCAAATGAGTATGTGTATGAAAATTGGTTATACACCAAAAAAAACCCAGCATCCTGTGCTTGTCTCAGTAACTATGGTTTACTGTGATAGGCTGGAACAATTCAGTGAGGAATACTATTTACAGTGCATTATCTGAAATAAAATGTGATGCAAAAGCAGTCAAAAGAAGAGACAGCTAAGTGTGAAATTTCCTCTGTAGTCAGCCGCTGATCTACAGATGAGTCACTCAGAAAGGATCACTCAGGTTTCATCTCATCACCAGCTCTGAATCTTCTGAAACCTTTTCCAGAGATTGAATTTAGTCAGACATGCTTCAGCCATCATGCCACCTTCAGCAGTGCTGCACAGGAGAATACAGTGCAGAGTTTTTCTCTCCCCACTGCTTTTCTTTGTCACCTCTGCAATGTGAGGACACTGGCTGTGCCAATTCCATCTGCAGGAGCTCTTCTTTGCCTTACACCTGGAGCTGTTGCCTCACTGGTTTCAACACACGGACAGAGCTGGACAGCAAGCCATAATGGGAGCACTGAAGCGAAGTACCTAAAGGCCTGGCACTGGAGAGGCACATCCAGAGCAGCAGCACCAAAATGGAGGTGGCTGTGCCACTTTTGGCTTCTCAAACCCATAAACTCTGACAATGCAAGTGCTTTCATTATGAAAATGACTTACTGAGCATGAAGTTACTGCTTTGCAAAGCAATTATCAAATACAACACCAACATACCCACATCTGTGCATTTTGTAGTCTAGAACATTTATTTTTTTTTTACTAAAAACCTCCCTTGCTCTACAGTCCAATAGGAAAAGCAGAAAAAGCCCTTTTGCTACTCTAAGAGGAGTGTTTTTAACCAAGCCTGCTAGCTTGCACTCTGGATTTCAGTTCTCTGATGTGTAAAAAATAGACTACAATAGTAGTATTATATATAGCTGGTTCTACTGGTTTTCAGGGGCTAATACACGTCTGAGTGGAAACAACGTGCCATTTTCCCACTGCCTTCTCTTGTTCCCTTTGCCTGAGAGAAAGACACTGTCTCAGCATCACTGCCAGTCTTGGGAACCATAAAATATAAGCTTGAACTCAGGGCCTGAGCACCAGGCAACGTATTGAGCTGCCCCTTCTCTGCTAGTGCTGCCTCCCAACACAAGGGATTTCCACCACACCACCAGCCCCTCCTCTGACTAGACCTGATACAGCACTAAGTTGTTCTGTCACTACACCCACAAGTTACAGCACCTGATGTGGACAATAAATTGAACAACGTTTATTTTTTCATTTGGCTCAGTTTGTTTTTTTGATTTGGTTTGTTTTGTTTTCCTAGCGCCCTGAGCTAGTATTCTTAATCAGTGGCAGGGAGCTCATGCACATGGTTCATAAACAAGAAAATTCAATTACTAAAACAAAACAGCAACAGAGCAACCCAAAATAGTAGTCAGAAGTAAACTAATAATAATGCCTTCTTCCAGTTTTATATTTGAATATTTTTCAATCTCCTTTCCAGCACAGCTTACATTTGACAGTCATGAAATAGTGGTGATAAGTACAAAGTGGGCTGCCTGCTTTTGGCATTCTCCCTTTCTTTAAAAATGTCACTCATCCCCAAAACACATGAGATTGGAAGTATTTTCCAGGATTAGAAACCTTCCCTTTCTGAATGGAATTACATTCCATGGAAGACAGAAGCCTCAGCAAAACCACAAAACCATTAATTTCATTGAACTTGCACAAAATAGTCTTCATGTGTCTCTGAGCCTCCCTTACTGTGCAGTAGTGGGGTACACTGCGTGAGCCTGTCCCAGATCATCCAGCACCAGAGTCCCAACTAGAAAGCAAGAAGCAAGTAACTGTGATTTCCATCAGATTCAATGATTTTCAAGAGCCACCAAAGGAGAGATTAGAAGTCAACCACCCTTTACTATCCCTGAAGTGGTCAGAACCAAGGTTGCAGAGCTTTCAGGTACTGTCTTCCATAGAAAGTTATTCTAAAAACTCTTGCATGACTCCAGTCCTGCTGCATCCATGGATATCTGTATACCATGGTAAATGGTGGACATGATCCAGAAGATAAGACATTTTCCTGCTTCACGGCTATAGTATCTTGAAGCCATGAAAACTTTGTCCAAAGTTTATCTGTATTTTCCCTGAGATGTGCATGTTGAAATCCATGGGAACTCTTGCCTGTTCTGATCCATTTCCTATGCTTCACATTTGCCAGTATTTCTCAAATGAGAAATCTGACATCCTATATGCAATGAATCTTCTATCCATGTTTTGTTTCAAAGGAAGATTTCCGATTATCTCTACCTAATGTTTCTGTCTGTGTCTGTTGCATGCTGGCACTGCTTCTCTGAAGGCACTGAATCCAGAAACTGGAAAAAAGCTCTGCTGAATTCTCCAGCTGAGGCCTGGGGACAAAATGTTTTCTACACAGAAAGGGACCATACAGTATTATTTACCCTGTGTTATTTGAACAGCAAATATTCACAGTAAATATGAGTATATGTGATTCTATAATGCATACTGAGTTCCCTTTCACACCTGGGACTCCAAGGGACAAAGTAACACACTCTTCTTTAAACTCTGGTATGCTGAATTTGTATCCTTCTTTGACAGAATCATAGAATTTCTTAGGTTAAGAAGTCCCCTAAGGTCACTGAGTTAATCTGTTAACCCAGCACCATGTTCACCAATGAAGCATGTCCCCACATGCCACATTCACATGACTTTTGAACTCTTCCAGTGATGGTGAATCCAATGCCTGACTTCCTTTTCTGTGAATAAATGTTTCCTAATATAGAATCTAATCCTCCCCTAGTGCAACTTGAGGCCACTTCCTCTCATCCTGTCACTTGCTACGTGGGAGAAGAGACCAACCCCCACCGTGCTACAACCATGTCTCCAAGTGCCACATCTGAACATCTTTTAAATATCTCCAGGGATAGTGATTCAACCACTTCCCTGGGCAGCCTGTTCCAATGTTTGACAACCCTTGCTGTGAAGAAATTTTTCATTCATGCACGGTTGATATTAAACCAGCAGAAAAAGCAGAACAGGTCATTATATTTGCTTGGGATGCTTCAGAAACAAAAGAAAAGATTGTAAGTCAAAAGCCAGGGGAAAAAAAAAAGTTTACTATATGGTATGAGCAGTTTCAGGATATAAAAATGGCATGAACTGGGTATAAAAATACACATTTTCATTAGTTAAGGTACTTAAGAATATTTTGAAAATGTAGATAAATTGATCTCAAGATAGAAGAACTGTCAGGCATGGGGTAGTACTGGACCCATTAACAAGTCTTGTACTGAATTATGTAAATGATTTAAATGGTTGAGATACACCAGATGGTTTCCAGCAGGAGAATTAAACCTTAGTGCATACATCTGCATTACCTGCTTGCAGTTAAAATCTTCTCCATGTCTTCAATTGAGATACTCTTTTATTTCTCCATCTGTATTTTTTTATTATTATGACTATTTATTTTTCCAGTAAAGGGAATTCCTTTGTCCTGATATATTAGTTCTAAGTAGAGCTGCCAACTGTGATGAGAATCTGGTTTCATAATACAGTGGACAAAAATGTGTTTACTGGTTCAGAATTGTTTCACATAGAGGAGTGCTGATAATTAGGTGTAGTTCTGCATTACATTTACTATAGCAGACAAAATCATTAGGATAAATAAATATAGCTTGAAATTACTTTTATGATACTGCTTTGGATAAACAGGTAGTAGTTTTGTCACTTTGAATTCTTCTAAATAGAAAAAAAACCAGTCTTACTCAACAGAACGAAATGGAAAAGCCTCATTGGGAGCATTTTAGTAAAAAAAAAGAAAAATATTCTATTCAAACTGACATGGCTTGTTAACGTCAGATACTGCTGAATACCTTGAATTTTTCTTCCAAAGATTAAAAAAGGAGGTATTCACTGGATAAAGTAAGATTCCAGACAAGGAAATAGGCTGGAGTATAATCACCATAGACCTTGCCAATACCATGCTTCAGAAATCAATCTGAAAGTTTCTCTAGGACTTACACTTTCCTGCTGGTTTTTAACAGCAGCAGATGACAATGCCACACACAGAACTCAACTATGCTGGCCAGTTAATTACCATGGCAGAACTAATCCTTCTCTATCTGTTTTCTCCATGGTAAATACATCTCCTCTAAGTGAAGTGAGGAAAGGTGAGCTCAGATCCTGGATTCGCTTACACATAAATGGAAATGTACATAGGTACTTAAAATCACATTTAGATTAAGTTTGATTTAGACAAATAAATGCCTTTGTAGGTCTGAGCCTTTATTTTCAAACTAGCTTCCCTCCCACTATCTTCTTCTTACACTTACTTGTCATACAGATCATACTTACTTTCACATCTGTATGCCTACATATAGTCTTCTGAAAATTAAAATGGCCAAGTTTGTCCACAAAAAGATGTGGCTGGTTGTCACCAAATGGTTTCTTTTTAGTTTCTTTCATACTGATAGTCTTTGCAATGTAAAAATAGAATATATATAAATTAAAGAAACCTACCCGACTGCTTTCAAACCTTGAGCGATCGTTGTTTGCCTTTGTTGTTTTTTCTGCAAGTTTCTTCTGCCTTTGAGGGCCTTTTCCAAAGAAAATGTAGTTGACAAAGGCATATTCAAGTAAGGCCAAGAAGACAAACACAAAGCAGCCCATGAGATACATGTCAATGGCTTTAACATACGGAATTTTAGGCAAAGTCTCTCGCAGGTGAGTGTTGATTGTTGTCATAGTCAGCACAGTCGTAATTCCTACACAAAGAAAAAAGATCACATATCTTACAACTCCAAGCTTTCAGTTTTATTTTCCTTCTTGGAAAATATGCCTTGTCAGTGGGAAGAAGCTTAAAAATTTGTAAAAGATGTCTTGCAGATGACATCACTGCAAAAAAAAAAGCAAAATTAAAACGTGATGCATTATTATTCTGTTACAATAATTTCTTTCCTATGAGTGGGGGAACAGCTAACAATGGAGTCTGGCACTACTGCCATGAGTTAATGCAGCTTCATGGAAGCCTGTGTAGCTGTATTGAAAATCTCTTCCATGGGGACCACACTGATGTGCAAAAAGAACAGTTATCACACAGCTGGTGAAAGACTTCTCCCACAGTTTTAAATTTCTAAGAATTAGGCAGCTGGTTGATGTCAGTCCTGTAGGGTCTCCCTGAGGTAGATAGGGAGAGACAGGTACCTTTCTAGAGCAGTTCATCCCATCTAGTTTAGATATCTATTTCAGGAAAGGACAATGTATAAGTGAAATTTGAGATGACTAATTTGGTGAAGCCTACTGCTGTAAGCTAGTTACATAGAAACAAGTGAGGTGAGCAGTGAGAGACAGACAGGGATGTGAATTTTTGGAAGGAAGAAGGAGGGAGAGCAGTATCTTTATAGCAACAAACTGGACACTAATAAACTATCAACAAAATATCTATATCAACCTTATGTCAAGCTATTTATCTAAGGATGGACATAGCACCTGAAAATCTGGAAAGAAAAGCAAATTTATTGTCCGTCTGCCTAAATTCACAATAGACTGCAGGATCTGTATCTCCACTGGAAATTCTATGGGAATTGCAAATCACAGGTTGCTGAAAACACTCATTTGTGGAATAAGTCTCATTTCAAGGCAAGTCGGCAAGTCATTCTATTAGTTCTCCTCCATTACTATTTTCTTTGATTCCACAATTATACCATCAGTTTACATGTAGCCACTAAAATACAGGCAGAACACAAATAAAGGATGAAATAAAATTGCTGCCATATAATAAAGCACAGCTTCTTTTACCTGAAGAGACAAAAATAAGACAATATAACTCAAAACCAAGCTGTCAGTGTAAGCAGTGCCACTCCAGGGAACTCCAGTAATACCCTATGAGATTGTGCAACAGATATTTTGGATATTTAGTTAGTGTCATGTGGTTTTCAGTGTTTTTCCTCTAAACTGTGAAACAAATGTGCATTGATGCCAGATGTCTGGTGATCCAGAAGATTAGGCACACTGAACAGAAAGGTAGCTATCATTAACCAAAGGGAAATACCTTCCCTGGGAGATCCTAAAATCCTGTGGCCAAATGTCCTTCTGAAGCTCAATAATTTATTTTAAAGCACAGCTGGAGGGGAATAAGCTGACAAAGCTGACACTCCCCTAAGACAAAAAAATAAGATACTCTTGTGATTATAGTCCTTCCCACAAGAGAGGACTCCAGAGATTATTCTCCTCACACAAAGCACTGAATTTAGGAACTTTTAGGGCTAGCTAGCAAAAAGTTGAGAGCAGAATTGATAGGTTTGAATATTTCTCTTGAGATCAGCCCTATATCACCATCTGTTTGCAGTGTCCATAGCACATAGTTTCTGGAATGAGCTGGCCTTTGCTCTGCACCTTGGCTTCACCCTGGAAGCAACTATTTGGTTCAGTACAACAAGGGATCAGGCACAGGGGAAAAACATGAAAGTAAATTAATAGAATCAGGCTCTTGCAGAGAATACCAGCTTCTTGCAGGGATTGTGTAAAAGTTTGTGTCCCAAGAATTGCACAGAGAATTCTTCCTCGAACAAATACTTAGGAAATCAGGTATACCTTCTTTGTACTGCGCTTTTCAGAGCCAATGATGTATGTCCAAAGGTGCTATATCGCCTTTAAGCTTTTATGCTGGTTCACATTAGCATGCCATGTAAGTTCACAGACACTACAGAACAGGGAGCAGCTAGCCCTAGAAGTCCCTGCAGGAAGGCCCTGCAGAGAGACCTCAACAAATTAGAGAACTGGGCGGGCAATCACCAACCATGTGAATTTCAATGAGGGGAAGTGCCAGATTCTGCACTTGGAATGGGCAAACCTCAATGCACAGACAGACTGGGGAACAAAATGTTGGAGAGCAGTGCTGCAGAAAGTGCTGGGGATCCTGGTGGAATGCAATTTGAACATGAGCCAGCAGTGCCCTGGCAGCCAGGATGGCCAACCATGCCCTGGGATGCATCAGGCACAGCATGGCCAGCTGGGCGAGGGAGGGGACTGTCCTCCTCTGCCCTCCTCTGCACTGGGGCAGCCTCACCTTGAATACTGTCAGCAATTTTGACCACCACACTATAAAAAAGATACTGAACTATTAGAAAGTGTCCAATGGAGGGCAACGAGGAAAGTGAAAGGTCATGAGGGGAAGCCGTATGAGCAGCAAGTTAAGTCACTTGGTCTGTTCAGCCTGGAGAACTCATTCTTTATTCTTCATGAGTTCTTCATTCTTCAGCTTCTTCATGAGGGGAAGAGAAGGGGAAGAGGAGGGACAGGGACTGATCTCTTCTCTGTGGTGACCAGTGGCAAGAGCCAAGGGAATGGCCTGAAGCTGTGTCAGGGGAGGTTTAGGCTGGATATTAGAAAAAGGCTGTTCACCCAAAAGGTGGTTGGGGACTGGAACAGGCTCCCCAGGGCAGTGGTCGCAGCACCAGCCTGACAGAGTTCAAGAAACATTTGGACAATCCTTTTGAGCCCATGGTGTGACTCTTGGAGATGATGATCCTGTGCAGGGACAAGAGTTGGACTCCTGTGGATCCCTTGTGGATCTTTGAGCCCATGGTGTGACTCTTGGAGATGATGATCCTGTGCAGGGACAGGAGTTGGACTCCTGCAGATCCCTTGTGGATGCCTTCCAACTCACCATTTTCTGTGATTCTGTGATACCAGCTTAAGACTAATAAGAGGTGGTATACAAAGAAACATAGGATTAGACCCATGATAATGAACTTGAATGTACAAATGCCAAAGACATAATCACCAAGGCACTAATTGTTTTCTGAGAAGAAACTATTAGATAGATTTTTGTCCTCTCAAAAGGACTTTCTACCAATTGGAAATAGAACATCTGGTCTCCTGAGCTTGCCTTGTACTCTCTGATTTTTGTTCTAATATTTGTTTTACAATACTTGATGAACTTGTGCTACACAGAAATGGGTGACATGGGACAGTCTTGCTCCTTAAACAAGGAATAATCTCATCAACCTGTAACAAAAGGGCATGAAATGTCACTGGGTATGGTAACTTCTGTCTAACCATCTGTTCTCTGCATTCCTGGACAGTATGTATCTAGATGTGATGGCTGTGTTTGAAGTGCCCTCACTTGGTCCACCTGGGTGGATCTCTGCTATCCAGTAGCTCATTTATGAACACATCAGAGATGTCTGAACTCTATGCCCTGCTTCCTATTAAGCTGCTACTTAGCTTGAAGCTGCTAAACAAACCCTGGCTGCTGAGTGGTAATGCCAGACTGTGTCATGCCCATACACACCAGATAACCCACATTATGTGCAGAATTACTGCACAGTAACTGCAGTTAATCTACAGTATCTCCAGCTACCCAAATTCAGATGCTGGATAATATGTTGCACAAAGGTGGCTACCCTGCCTGTTTGGTATGTGGGACCTTGAGAGACATAAGGAAAGGGGTAAGGAAAAAGAGACTCACAGGGACACGAGTTGGAGTCTGGGTTTGCTGTAGTACATTATAGAAAAATAAGGGAACTAGGGAGTATGTTCCTGTTTTAAGAAAATAAGAGAATACAGCAGGAAGATAGCACAGACATAGTGACAAGTTTTGGTTAATGGGGAAGTGACAAGGTATGTGTAATTGAGAAGCACAGGGTTGAAGATAGAATTTGGGACAAGACAAGAGGCAGAAGTATTTATAAGGATTTATAGATCCATTTAATCTTCCTTAGGTATAGCTATCCCTGAGTATGCTTCTGTAAATGATGAAATATTTGCTGTGAGACATTGTTATAGAATCTGTCCTGGTTCTGGCCAGGACAGGGTTAATTTTTGCAGTAGCCAGGAAGGGGCATGGCTAGGACCCAAACGTTATTCTCTATCACCTCACATCATTGCCAGAGGTTGTGGGAAGGGAGTCTTTTCTGGGAGGAAGGTTTCCCTTCAGGTTGGGGCAAGCGTGGCCACCACTGAGTCATAAGTTGCACAATGAGCATTTTTGCTTGTGAATCGCTCTCTCTTTTGTAGTTTGCTGACCCTGTTCTTTTTCATGTCTCATTGCTGTTTCCAATCAATTGTTCTTACCTCAGCCTAGGATCTTTACCTTTTGTGTCTCCAATTCTCTCCAGCCACCCACAGGGGTACTGGGGACAGGGGGAAGGGGGACAGGGTGGTTTTAATAGAACCACTAAATTGGAGAATACCATTCCTAAACTATGACAGAATCACAGAATGCTTTGGCTTGGAAGGGACCTTAAACACCATCTAAGTTTGCTGCCATGAGCAGTTCAAGTTGCTTGAAGACACATCTAACTTGGCCTTCAACACTTCAAGGGATTGGGAATCCAAAACTCCTGTGGACAACCTGTTCCAGTGCCTCACCATCTTTACAATCAAGAACCTCTTCTTAATCTAAATCTATTCTCTGTCATTTTGAAGCCATTCCTCCTTGTCCTGTCACTACATGTCCTTGTATGAAGTCCCTTTCCCCTTTGGGTACTGGAAGGTGCTATAAGGTTACCCTAGAGCCTTCTTTTTAAGCTGAACAAAACCAAGTCTCTTGGCCTGCCTTGACAGAGAGGTGCTCCAGTCCCTGATCACCTTTGTGGCCCTTCTCTGGACTCACTACAACAGGTCCATGACCTTATTATGTTGGAGACCCCAAACCTGGATCCAGCATTCCAGCTGGGGTGTCATGAGAGCAGTCACGGAGAAGAATCCCTTTCCTCACCCTGATGGCCACACTGGTTTAGGTGCAGCCCTGACACAGTTCGCTTTCTGGACTGCAAGTGCACATTGCTGGGTCATGTTGAGCTCCTTGGCAACCAACCCCCCAAGTCCTTCTCCTCAGGGCTGTTTCTCAATCCATTCTCTACCCAGCCTGCACTTGTGCTTGGGATTGCCTGACCCACATGCAGGATCTTGCACTTGGCCTTGTTGAACTTCATGGGGTTAATGCGGGTACACCTCTCAAGCTTGTCAAGGCTTTTCTGGATGGCATCCCTTCCCTCCAATGTGTCAACTGCACAATCTTCTAGTGACCTTCCCTTATTTAAAGGATACCTTGATCTGAAAAGTCCTTGGGCAGGAATCACATACCTGTGCCAAATCCAAGTTTTTCTGTCATGAGGTAAATGACACTTTAAGCTGTCATAAACGTGCACTTAACACACCATGTACTCTGAGGGTTAGGTGGCATGGTATGGTCCATAGCTGATGTGTGCTGAACTAGCAACGGTTCTTGAAGTCTGCTCCTGCCAGCATCAGTTAAAGCACCCAGGACCTCAGGAGGAGGCTTGGAGCCACATTTGTCCTCCCACACTGAGCTGGACTAAAGCCCGTGTTCAAGTATGATTGTGGAACTGGTGTCCTAGATGAACTTACTGAAAACCGCATTAGCTTTGGTGAAAACAAGTCTGGGACCTGTATGAGCAGCTCATGTCAGAGATTTAGTGGTAGCTACACTCTTGCACGAAGAGGAAAACATCACTTTTGAGGCAATACTGGATGACATGATTTTGACGCAAATTATTTTGGAATTTCAAAACACTGACATCATGTCGTAGTTTTTAACAACCTCTGAAGGCTACATTAAATCTGACATTTTAATGTCCCACTCATTTTAGCACATACCAAGGGCAACTCTTGCTGCTGATGCATCATAATTGATCCAGAATGACACCCATGATAAAATGGTAATCAGTATGGAGGGCATATAGGTTTGAAGAATGAAGTAGCCAATATTTCTCTTCAACCTGAAGCTCAATGAAAGTCTTGGATAGGCACCTGAGAAAAGAGAGAGGAAAACAGTGTAATTTATACTGAAGGAAAGACACTTGTAGATAGCTGCCTTCAGTTTCTGCACATTTTGTGAGGTAGTATGACATCTGCAGAACAGTAGGGATGACATCTTCACTGTAATACTCATTTGTATTAAAAGGAACCTTGCAGTGAATACAGTGATAGCCAAGGAATTTGTATTTGGGAAGAAAAAGAGAGACAGAAAATTACTTCAGACTATTGAACAGATAGGTGTGCACCAGTTAGTTTTTAAAAACAATTGTTTAGGTGTCCAGGTAAGATGCTTATCCAAGTACAGTTTTCTGTATAGAATTTATATTGAGAGAATAAGCAATGTACATAGTTTTTTTCCTTTACAATGAGTTGTTCAAGAGATGAAACTTCTTAATTACATATGAACTATAAGAAACATGGGCCATGGTGTCAAAAATAAATTGTAATGAATTTTATTAAAGGAAAAGCCTTCAGACTAGATCCCCTAAACATCAATTCTAGTCAGCTCAAATTTTTCTTCCAAACATATTTTAAACAACAACAACAAAAAAATCGATTTTTGTGTGCACATATATAGTTCATGAACAGTTACAAACATTAAAAATTAACAATAGAAAGAATTAATAACCTCAATACCAACTTAATTTCAAATTGATGTATATCTTACTGAATTTGTGTTAATGTTACTGAATACATTTTAGACTTATAGACATATATATGTATATATATGTGTATATATATATATATGTATATATATATTCAGACTAATATATTTAGAAATCTCAAATTGTTAAAAATAATTGTGACTTTTTTCACTAAATGCAAAGATGATTAAATCTTAGTACAGCTGTATATGAAAAAGGTGGTCTTTCACACATTAGCTCCATGATTTCAGTGTTCACACTACCAGTCTTAGATATACTTCTAACAGCTCATCTAAAAGATACAGTTAGTCAACATTCTAAAAAAAATTTCAGCACATACCAAGAACTCAAACAGATATTAGAACACTTCCCACCCATTCTAGTGCAAATATGTAAAAGCTATGAAAGATTACGTCTAGAGAAAAAATGAAAACTTAAAAACTTCCCTTTAAATTATGTTTATGTGTTTGCATATGAGCTTAAGAAATTACATTTGCCCATATAGATACGAATGATGGATTTCCTAAGAAAGAAAGGGAAAGAAGGAATGGAAAACTGCAGATTTCTCTCCATCATATTCCTGATAGTTTGTTACACTTTGACTCATATGACAGAAAAATGCCACACCATTTCCAGGCAACAGGAGCATCAAGGCAATATCAAACTTGTGCAAATATCCTTAACTGTTGTATCAAACAATCTCAGAACAACTATGACTGGGAAAAGAAATATCTGGTACGTGTATCTGGTTGCTGTGATTACTTCAATCAGTAGCATTTTTTCCAGAATGAAATGCCTTTTAGCTTCACCAATAGAAGTATATTGCTGGAATCAGAAGGATGTATTTCATCCGGATTAGACCAAGGTTTTCTGCTGTCTGGGGCAGTCGACACAATTTTCAGCAAGCAAACATCTACACTGCAGCTTGCTTAACATCTTCATTTTCAGATAAACAATGTTTCATTTCAAAAGACAAGTTTTCTCATTGAAACCAGCCCTGCTCTTTTTTGCAAAGCTTAACATTTTCATTTGGATTCTTATGAAAATGTTTCTGTGGCCTTGTGTCTGCAGACTATATAAATAAAACAGGAGACCATAATGAAATATATAAACTCTGCTATCATGGAATACATTAAAAATGCAGCAGACCTGATCACCTTTCTGCAATAAGAGCAGAGCATCAGACAGAAATCTTTATAAAGCTCTGCTGAGAAAAATTATTTCATATAATACACTACCCACTCAAAGGATTCTCTATAAATGTGTATAAAAGTTTTCAAAAGTCCTGTCCAGGTCTAGATATCTGTGGGATATTATTGATAGAAATACTGATTCTTTGATTAAATAGTATGAAGGATTAATTCAAGGAAGTTCAGTAGAACTGAATAAAGTCAATTCTTTTTGAAGAATTCTTGGTTTGCTCCAGAGCCAAGGACCCTGAATGCACTAGGGAAACTCAGAGAAAGAAAAGAGAACCTCACCATTGATAAAGCAGAGAAAATAATGTGGGTGAAAGAGGTGTGTATCAACAGGGGAGAGAATAATGTGTCACATATGTTATTAATGTTCAGTAATGAAATCCCAAACTGAGAAACCATATAACAGAGCGAGCTTTATCAAGATATTTATCTTGAATGCTTCACCTGTGACCATGATCCATTTCTCAGCACAATTTCTGTCTAATTAGGTAAGGTAATTACTGAAACTAGTGAGATCTGGCCTTAAAGGTGGACTCCCCAGAGAGCTGACCTCAAGGCCAGAGACACCAACCTAAATATGCTTGAAGCACCAGTTTCTTTGCTCTGAAGTTAGAACCCCAAGAACCATGTCTAGGGCCAGGGCTTGTCAGTGCCTTCTGTCTTCCTGCTCTAGAGTTGGAGTTGACTGTAACACAGATTCAGTTGCTAATCTGATGGTGCCCTGATCCTTTTGAGATGCCCTGTGACATCTCTCAGACACCAGCACACAGCTGATGGACATGATTTTCCCCCCTACATCTTTGTGATCAGCACGTGGATAATACAGAGTCTGCCTTGTGCCCTCTCAAATAGCAGTTGATTAAGCAACACACTTGAACTGCTTACACATGAGCCTGGTGTCTAAGCTCCAGTTCATCCAGTCAATCCAGCAAAAGAAACCTAAGGAATTATCTACCACCTCCTAAAATGGACTCCTGTAGGTGTACTCCTTTTGTCTCCATACTCCACCAACTGCATGAATTCTATTTTGACCAACTCAGACACCTAGCTCAAACGTAGACACTGAAATTATATTCACCATAAATCAGAACAAGATTAATCCAGACCCTGCAAGTCTCAGGGCAGATTTTGATGGTGTGAGGCTCCCAGGCAATAAAAACAAAAGTTTTGCTAGCATTACAGCTGCTTACTGCAGTTGACACGTATAGTAGAGACTTTGTTAAGGTCAGGTTGAAATTGAAACATGAACTGGTAGAATCATTTTTTTATCATACTACATAGCCAGGGTTCTCCTTTAGATACCTCTCCCTGAGACTGTGAGACTTTATATTACTTTCAACTGAATTGCTTTTATGTCTTCAAAAATTATCTATTGACCCTGCATCCAGCCTGCCATCTCTGCTGCAGTATCTCACCTCCAGCAAGCAGGCCACAGGAATCTGTGGAAAATAAACAATTAAAAGAAGGACTCCTCCTTATTTCCTGTAGTTAATTCCCCCTCTTTGTCTGAATGGCTAAAGCTTTCTGAACAGGATGGGTCCTAACCTTCATGGAGCAAGGACTGTAAGTCCAGATATTTATCTAGAAAGATCCATTCTGTGGATTACTTATTTAATATAAGTTGACTTCTGGGTAAGCTCAACAATTACACTGTTGTTTGTCTGATTATGATTGCATAATGATTTGTCAATTAAGGCTCAGTACATTTAGAGATTAATTGCCAGGAAATTCTACTTGTTAAGTTTCCATTAAAAATTCTGGGTTTTACCTTTTAACCTTGCTTTGCCATGTTATCCTTCCTCCCATCTCATATAACATGTTGATGTATATGGGCTAATTTAAATACTACAGGAATAACAGAATTTTGCCAGAAGTATTTCAATCTAACAGTACTGGGAATGAAAGTATGAAAATAATAACTTAATCAACACTTGAGCCCCAAATATTCCTTTTCACGTTTTTGGGCACTTGATAAAAAGAGATTACTTGTTTCTGTTCCAATTTCATTAAAAGCTAGCAAGCTGAAATATCTGGCTTCAAGGCTAAATTAGTCTCTTGCTGTTTTATCCAAGTATAAAACAAGATAACAAAGTTGGTCAGTTACAGAATTCTTATTTTAATATGTTCTTCTGGGAAGGTTCTTTGGCTAATTGGAAATGTACTTTACATACTGATCTTTCAGAATACAGCAAATATTTCATTTTCAAATCTTTTAAGACTACCCTCTTCTTACCAACAGGTTGCTAATATGGCTTTGACTGCTATGTGACTTGAAGCTTTTAGATGGTGTTTTACATATCCCCATTCCTGTTCACTATCCAAGCATTTTGAGATAATAAACATTTAGGAGGCAGATTCAGGTAACAGAATTAGCACTACATTTCAGGTGTTTGAATGCAGGTATTTGCTCATGCATGGAGCATGAGGCGTTAGTGGAAACCATGGAGATCTAGACTTAGAGCCAGCTGATTCTAAGGATGTGATTTAACTGTCTATACTGAGGTGTCTAAAGCCATTTGAGATGTGAGAGGCTAAAGAAGAGCAGAACACAACACCAAAGCAATCAATACTGAAGCAGTAGATGGTGAACATAGAACACAAGGCTGCAAGATGCCAGAACAGCAGCCTAACTGCTAACCAGGATCTTCTACAGCAGCTCAAAAGGCAGAAGGTTGTTAGGTTTAGGCAACTGAAGAGTGTCTTAAAATATTCATTTGAGAAAACAGAAGTATTCAAGAGCTGAATCGCTCTTTAGGCTTCACTGACGGCCCTGACTGGATAGCATTTGACTGTGGGCTTAATTCAGTTACTGACACATGAGCATCCAGTGCCATTTAAATATCTTATGGTATCCTGCATGGCCTTCAGTTGGTGTGAGAAGGATAGTCAAACCAGGTATTTCTTCTTCATAGAAATTTAAAAATCATGAATAAAGGGAACAGACTATTGTACATAGCTTTGCAGATAACTTCTAGACACATGAAGGTTCTATTTAATTCCCAATCAAGTGCTCTCTTTTTTTAAACTACATGGCCATACTTGTATCTCCACTAATCTCAGTTATGCCATTTTCTAGTTTTTCACTTATACTTGCTTATTTTCCATAAACCCCCTTCTATTGCTCCATTACTGCCTTCAAGAGTGCTACCCTTGACCAAAAATACAAAGCTTAAGCATTATCAATGTAAATCAGGCTTCTTTTTATGATGAGATTTGTGGTTTTGTTTGTTTCTTTTCTTTTTCTCCCAAAAAAGATCTTACCGGCTCATGTTCAGTTTGAGATCAACAACAACCCTTGTATTTCTGTGTACACACAGAACCCTGGCACAACCTGGCATTCTCTATCCTTAATTTGGAAAGGAATATTTAGTTGCACAGATGCTGTATCTTGAACTCGTCCATAATGAATTTTATCTTTTTTCCAAACACATTTTGCTAATTTGGCCAGTCAAATTTTGACTTCCATTCTATACTTCAACAGGCATGCCGTTCCTCCAGCGTTCTTGCAGCTCCACCCGGATTATGGATGGGGGTTTTCCCATGCTTATCATTGCTTCTCAGTAGTTACTATGGGAACAGATTTTTTCTTTTGCCTAAGTTACACAAGATTATACAGCACAGTTTCTCTTGAAGGACAGGAGAAAAAACTAATCCAAAAAGCTGTTTATGGCATGACTCTGAAGTCTTCTTTTAGTTTTATTCAATCAAAGCACACTAGGACTGAAATCTCTGAAATGTTCCCTAAGATATTGAGCTCAAAGAACTAATATCTCCCCCTGAGACTTCAATAACCTCAAAGCCAAAAACATGCCTAACTTATTTTCCAAAAAAAATGTAGAAACTGGCCCTAATTACTAGGACTGTAAAAAACTCTTGAGAAGAAACTTGAAAAGTGTCTGCTGACTTTATGTATTCGATCTGCTGGCATGCTTTAGATTTAGATTTAAACGTGGTTTTGAGAAACAAATGTGATGTTTTCCTGTCTTGTTATAAAATGTCATCATTAATCAGGCATTTTTATAATGTCCTGTATCAAAGCAATAGTAAATTCAGTATAGTGTCTCATCAGTGAAAAAAATTAAATGTTTCAGAAAACTGCACAAGAAACATGCTGTTCTCTGTAACTCCCTAATGCCAAGCTGTCTTAAACACTGAAGGATGAGCCTTTTTTATTCCTTTCACTAGTACTTTTAAGAAAAAAACATTAATATTCTGAACATTTGGTCAGTCTCAGAAATATGTGCTCCTAGTTTTTTAGTCTCTCTTGTATTTGTCACATCTCTCTTCGGATTTCTTGTTTTCCTGATTTTTACAAATCTCTCATCTCTACATTACTAAGTCACGCATCTAGAGAAATATTTCATACTGAACTAAAAGGTGGCCTTGGACTGTCATAAAAGTCACTCCACAAATAAGTTGTCTGTATTCTCATTGTTGTCTAAAACAGCCTTCCTACAAAAGCATATCCAGTCCTGAGGAGGGGCAGGTAAGCCCTGGCTGCCAAAGGTGGTACTAGCTGCAGGACAGAAGGATATAGGATTAGAGCAACTGATTCTCTGTATAAAAAAATCTTCCATTCACAATGGTAACTGAGAACAGCAGCAGCTGGCAAACTCCCTCATACTAATTTCAATCCCAGCAATATTTACATTTTGTTCTGAAATACAACTTGTGTTTCTGTGTACTTTGAAACAGATGCTGTGTCCAAAGAGTGGGTGAAGTGATGCTTACAAACATGATTCAGCTGTGCTTCATTTGTTCTGGTGTGCTGAGACAGATGGAACAGCACACTCCTGTGGTCTGAACAGCACTGAAAATCTGAAGGCCCCAGTAATGAACCAAGTAATGGCCCCACATGTGCTGATGGCTTTCTGTGTTGCTTTGATTTTGTCACACATATTCCTATTTTGGTGTCTAACACCAAATATGTAAATCAACCTTGCACTTTGTATTCTAAAGACATCCAGTACTGTGAGTTGCTACTAACTTTTATTCCATCTTCAAGGAAACAAGCAGGGATTTAATTTTAACACTTTAACAATGACTACAAATGCACCGGATAGTATTGTATATCTATCAGTGCAAATCGAGAGACAAAAAGAGACATTCACTATATAACAACAAAACAAACATGCACTGAAAAGTTGCAAGGAGGTGTTTATAAAATTGGTGGCTTTTTGACCTAGCATGCCAAAACACGTTTATGTATGATCAGTTACCCTGTAGGTTACATTTAAACTCATGATTCAGATGTGAATGACTTAATACTTAGACCATAGATATTTAGGCGTCTAGTTAAGTATCACATGCATACAAATAAAAATAAACAAGAAGGCAAAGAATCACAGAATGGTTTGGATTGGAAGGGATCTTAAAGACTACATAGTTACAACCCCACTGCCATAGGCAGGGACACCTTTGACTAGACCAGGCTCCTCAAAGCCCCATCCAACCTGGCCTTCAACACTTCAAGGGATGGAGCATCTACAACTTCCCTGGGCAACCTACTGCCTCACCACTGTTACAGTAAAGAATTTCTTCCTATATCTAATCTAAATATATTTTCAGTATGAAACCATTTGCCCTTGTGCTATCACTACATGTTTTTGTAAAAAGTCCCTCCCTATCTCTCTTGTTGGCCCTACTAAATGCTGAAAGGTTGCTAGAAGGTTCTCTTCTCCAAGCTTAACCCCAACTCTCTCAGCCTGTTTTCCTTAGAGAGGTGCTCCAGCCCCTGATCATCTCTGTGGCCCTCCTCCAGACTTGTTCCAACAGGTCCATGTCCTTCTCATGTTGGAGGCCCCAGAGCTGAATGCAGTACTGAATGCAAGATTGGAATTTTCATGGTCTTCTACCTCCAGGCTTTGTCAAGTAATTTCTTTATCCAAACAGGCAACACAGGCTACATTTTCTGATTGGTAATAATAGTTAATTATTATTAATAAAACAGTAATTTTCATGCACAAGAAAATTAAACACTAAATGGGCAAGTGGCAATACTTGCCTGTGGCAAAGACAACATTCTTTGACACCAGTCTGTATTCCACGATAGAGAACTGAGGAAGTTCAATCCTCTCCACGCCAGTGACGGCGTTATCTCCACCTCTCCAGTAGAACTCTATGTCATCAGTTGTGTAGCCATCTGCAGGCAAAGCAATAGAGTCAGAAATAACAGCAGACTCAAACATAGCTTCAAACATGCAGCTTGTCATTTGTGACAACAAAAAGAATTGGTACAGCTGGAGAGCTGTATGGTATTTTGCCTGTGGGAAGGTCTCCCAAATTGCTACACCATTACAATCTGCCTGGGAATTTTAGGCAAAATACTTAGCTTTCTTTTTATTTTACCTTTTTTTTTTTTATTACTCATGTATTATTCACTAATAGTCACAGCGAGAAGAAAACACCATCCAAGATTTAGGATATCAAATGCATTTAGCACTGAACTAAATGTATATTTACACTGATAATCACCAGAAGAAGCTTGATTATTCAATGAATACAGAGAAACATAACTGGGGCAGACCTTTTCCACTCACAGTAAACTGTGAGTTGCATCATTTCCACTAGCTTACACTAGTGGAGGACTACAGCTGAATATGGAATGTATACTGGTATTTTTTGTATATGGCCCACATTTTCCAGCCAGTAGCAGAAATGGAGCAGGTACTTCTGAAGTGCAAATATTGCAATCCTAGGACATGACTAGGTGAAAAAGAGAATGCTGTTCTTTTTGTAACACAATTTCAAATCATAAATGGGATCAGTTTGAAATCCCATGGTAGGTCCTGCACCAAGAATATCCATACATAATAAAGCATACTGAAAGGCAAGTGTATCACAGTGTTTGCTCTCTTGAAAATAAATCTGATAAAAATACAAATATTAATCTCTTGTGTTGAAGATAAGCATCCAGTCACTACCTCTGCCAAGTCAGGCAAAAATACTAAATTACTTCATTCTGTCCTCATCTAATTTTTCTAGAATGTATTAATCTATCTAGAAATGGATGACTCCTTATATCTTTTAATAATTTAAATAAACAGACAAACAAAAAATCCAAATGGTGATAATTATATGATACAAATAGTGTTTATAGACACATGTGTAAATATTACACAGTTGTATAAAACAAAAAGAACCCCAACAACTAGATCCAAACTAGATTTCACACGCATTTTCTTAGGTACGTACAGCTTTCTATTTCCAGAGTACAGTTTTGTTCATCCAGTGGGTATCTTCTCAAGTCCATCATACATGCTGCAGTGGTTGTGATTCTGAAACACAAGCATCAATCAGGTTTACCATACAGCCAGTAATCCAGGTTTTGGGTGATGGGGTTGTTTATCTTCCAAAGTGAAGATCTGAAGAATAGCTTACAGTAAGTGAGAATCTGGTCCATATTTTCACATTGAGCAGCAGCCTCATAGAGCAGCAATTACAGTGGAACAACTGGCTGTGAATTACCCTTATGCAACCAGCCCCTTTGGGGTTCAATGGACCTATCCTCATATGCAAGTATTACATGAACATTTGCTGAGATTAAAATATATGACTTTATAACAGAAACCATTAAGTCAAAATAGTCTGCTACAAATGTCAAAATGATTGCAGGTGCATGAATAACTGATTTCTTGGTTTTGTGGCAGGTCTAGGAAAAAAAAGCCCTGAAATGTTGAAAAAAAAGTTTTAAGTCCAGCAAAATGCTTTGTTTTAAATCTTACTTCCCTGGTTTTCAAATTGAAAGAGGATTTTGTTGTGAAGCTCCATATTGAATTTTAAGTTTTCTCCTCAAATAACAAAACACTTTCACTTCTCTGTCTATTTAACCATTTAGCACCCTAAGGACAGTTTTGCAAAACATTTCACTATTGATAAATCAGCATTATTTATCAACCTCTTGTATATCAGGAGAGTCAACAACAAACATGTGCAACCAGAACAACTGTCTTAACAGCTTCACACAGCACTGTCACTTCATTTTGTAGTTAATGGATTTATATATTTGTTCTAACTTTAGACAGATATAACCATGTGCTCATAATTAATCTGCAGCATATTTTGATGTTTTTCTGAATCACAGCCTTCAACAATATACATTATTATGCATCACTGTTTTTATAATGGCTTCATATAAATTATCTTCTGAATCTGACTAGCTCCATTCCTTACTGATCCTTTTTTGATATAAACAAGACATAGACATTGCACAGTTTGTTCCTAAACAAATAATATTCTAGTGATAATTTATGTTAATAAATACAAGATGGGAAAATGCCTTAAATGTGCATCTAAAAGCTGGAACCCTCAATATTAATGTTTTTTTCATGCATTTTCTCTGAAGTTCTTTCTTCTACCCATTAACCTTCTCAAATTACAGTCTTCTAATCTGGTAAACTACTTTAATATTCCAGGGCAATGTTTCAAGAGAAAAAAAAAGTAGTTAGGTGCCTTTCTTCACATCTTTCACAGAAAAAAACCCCCTATATTGTTATTATGAATATATCCAATCTATCCAATCTCAAAGAAAAGGAAATAATACTAGTGTATAGGATCTGACTGTCCTCTGAATACTCTTATGCTAGTCCCGCAGGATTTCAGGTATTAAGTATTGTATCACAAGAGGATACTTAGGCCAGCCTTCCTCCAAACTGCACCTGGGAATTGCTCTGGTTCCTCTGTTAACACAAATTCCAGTAGGCTGGAGCTGTGTACAAACAGCAGTTCCCCAGTTGCTCTGCAGTTTAGGGAAATGTCTTCTCTGCAACCAACATTTGCAAATGCCCTTCTGGAAATTCAGGCAGGGTGGTAAGACACAGGGCTATTAACTGTGGAGATGATTAATCATCTGGGTTGTTTAGCCTGGAGAAGAGAAGGTTCCAGAGGGATCTTAGAGCAGCTTTCCAGTACCAAAAGATAGGCTACAAGAGAGCTGAACTAAGACTTTTTAGAAGGATGTGTAGGACAAGGAGGAATGGATTTAAGCTGAAAGGCGGTAGATTTAGATGACATTTTATGAAGAAATTTTGAATTTCAGAGTGGTGAGGCACTGGAACAAGTTGCCCAGAGAAGTTCTGGATTCATCATCCCTGTAAGTGTTGAAGCCTCCACAGGGCTTTGAGCAACCTCATCCAATCAAAGATGTCCCTGCCCACGGCAGGATGATTTTAAGGTCCTTCCCAGCCCAAAGCTTTCTATGATTCTTTATATGTCTCCTCAATACGGTTACTAAGAGCAGCTCTAGCTAAGCATATAAAACAAGGACTAACATACAGTCTTAGAGGAGAAAACTTATTCTTAAAGCTGTGATTATTAATAAGCAAGCAATGACGCCCTTAACAAAGCCATATTGATTGTGCAATGAAAGGATCTTGCTCCTCAGTCAAATAATAACTGTGTTCAAAGTAAAACAAGTAGGCACGCTTGGAAATTGTTGATATGAAGGTTCTCTCCCATGCTTTAGAAGATTTGCCTACACTAACCTAGGTCTCATGTGGGATCCTGCAGCAGGATCCCATCCACATGAGCTAAGTTGATACAAAAGGGAATGTGCTAGCAGACACTTAACTATTAAGTTGTATAACTAGCTATAAATGCCAGCCTTACAGAACACAAATTATTAATTTTACAATATTGTAAAAATTATACAGCTGGCAAATTTATATTCAACTTAATAATTGTGTTATGACTTTTAAGGAATGTATTTTTATTTTGGTCTGTTCACATACTCTAGTGGGTTTGCATCACAAGTTCCAGTACCAGAAACTGCACATTCTTGCTCAAGAAACTTTTTTACACTACAGAAAAATGAACTAGAAAAGAAGATACAGCCAGAAATAGAAACAAATTTATCTCATTTTTTCAAAGTAAGTTTAGTACTCAGAGGTCCCTCCTGAATGAACATTCAAGCAATCAAATTTAACTTGCACAAATGCACACCAAAAGCAAATATGAATGGCTCAGGCTTGTGCATGCTCCAGGAAGAGCATGTTTACTTTTTATGGGATAGTATGGTGCCTGACACAAGAGAACAAGGTTTCAAGAACTCATCATTATGGCAGTGACAGAGGAATGATTATGAGCCAGACAAAGATGAAGTGGGACACAGACACAGACATGCACACAGTTTGGGTCAAAGCAACACACAAAAGAAATGCTTTTAACTTTTTATAATTTCCTACTCTGGTTTTCTTTCCTCTGGATATATATTCTCTTATCCTTTTCTGGGCTAATTGCCTTTGATTATACTGCTATATTGTACAGGAGCCCCATCTGTGATGGGCTGTGAGGTGCTGCATACACAACCGAGAGAAGGATATTTTATGTCCCCAAAACTTTTACAGTATGAAGCAGTCTAGGCAATACAGATACTTCATATGTGATTAGGTCACAGTCCTAACTGTTTTCTTTCTTGATACAGAAACACATTCATCCAAAAAGAATAGAAGTAAGCGTGGTTGCCTTGTCTGACTGATCACAACTAATCTTTTCACCCTGCAAACATCTATCATGTTTCAAATATGGGTAATAATTATGTGAGTCCTTTCTGATAAAATACATATATTCCTCAGCACCAGTTACTTTTAATGTTTAACATTGTACTACCTAAAAACAAGAGGTTTATGCATGAGAAACACACAAGTAGTCAGACTCTATTTTTGATCCCCAGACTATAAAATAGTTATTTCCTCTGTAGTCTCTCATGAAAAAAAGCTGTTTTATCATCATTTTCCTTGTAGATTCTTCTGAAGAAGGTAGAAAAAATTCAGTGTCGGCCAAAGAAAAAAATTCCCCAGAAATGGGCTGAACTTCAAAAAGCTCCTGTTCCATTCCCCCACTATCACAGACTTCTGCTGCAGTAGCAAAGTGCTTTCTCTAAAGCAGAGAGGAACCTTGGACGACTGAAAGTCAAGTCCTTCAAAACTGTGATAAATCCTACATTGTTCAGAAGAGAACACACATCCAGTGTGGCCTTGGGATCACTTTCAATTGTATATGTGTTGAGGAACTGCTTTGTTCTGTGGATGTTCTGTAATTGGTTGCAACCCTCCAAAATTTCACCTATTATTCTGAGTGACCCTGTGCTTTTCGGAACATAAAACTCCAAGTTCTGGCCTCAACCCACATTGCCCCTGGACTGCAGCTTGAGCTCAATGCCATTGGGATGCTCTGAAGCCATAAAAGAGGAAGCAGAGTAGTGATGGAACAACACAAAGTACAGGTCTTTAAATCCGCAGAGATAAGGCTCAGATATTTTCTTCCTTTTGATCACAATGTCTATATTTTGCCACAATTTAATTTAACACAGTCATTCTTCACATTCTTCAATGTAACTTAGCTGCTTCCTATCATGGATTCTCACCCTGGATATTACAGGCTTTCAGAGAAAAGGAAAGTGAAGAAGTGTGCTACACATGAGCCACTGGTGAAAATCCTGCTGAGCAAATCCTATTATGTGAAATGCATCTGCTGTGGACACTTGTATTTTGCAGAAGAGGAAGCCAACTTACTCAAATACACTACTCTATGACAGATAATCCTCACCAAATGTTTTTAGAGTGCTACAGAAAGACTTCCACCTATTACTAGGATCACAAGAATTCTAATCTCCTTTACTTTTTTCATTATATTGCTGTGGGGAAATTTCTTGACATAAAGAAAAACAAATATATCTCAGATAATTTTTTCTCACATGTAACCACTTGAGAAAAGCATCTTAAGCCTGTTGTGCTCCATACTGGGTCAATACCTCACAAAACAAAAGCCTCCTTTTGCTAAAACTGATTAATTACGAGAAAACATTCTAAACTTCTTTGAAGTTCCAAATTAGGCCAAGTCTACCTCTATTTTGTCTAGAAAGATTCATTCAATTCTCCATAATGTAACAGGAGTTAAAAAGGTGAGGGCCAAGACCCAAGTCAAGTAAAAAGATCTACTGTTCATAAAAAAAGAGAAGCAGGTAAAATACTGACACTGGATATGTAACACATCTGCATCACGGTTCTGATCTATTTCTGTATTAGGGACTTTTTATCCTTCACTACCTATGTGCACCAATCTTGAGTATTATCTCTGCTTAAATATACAAGAAACTTCCAACTACGGAAAAGGAGCTTTCACTGGCAGACTTGTTTTGCTGGTTTAAACCACAGGAGTAAATGAAGTAACCTGTTCAAAGAAAGCAATATTTTGATACTACTGCGTTTTCCATAAGGATTTTTGCTGGTGTAGTTAAGTTTATTAAGGGAAGGATACTTCAGCATTTCTAACCATAAAAGTTATGGCAGAAAAGAAAGAAAACACAAGTCAAACCTAAAATAGGTAGAAAGTAAGAGAATGTAAGCTCAGTTTGTACCTTTGGTTTGAAATGTAGCAATTACAGTGCTGATTCCTGATTGAAGAAATCACTGAAAGTACTGGGTCATGATCTTAGCTGTGGCTGACTCTCCCCAACCAGGGCTACTTCTACCTTTTTCTTTATAGACTATGAACAAATCAAGAGACAACATAAGCACCCACATTCAATCTTGCTGCCTGTATTTTGGACAGGATTTTCAGGTTTACAATTAATATGTGCCTTTCTGCTTCCTACAGCCAGTGGGCTTTCCAGATATGGTGACTGTACAGAAACAGATAAAACCTGACTGAAGGCGCTTCTGGCAAAATTAAGAAACATCGAGTGTGTCATTTGTTTTCTACTGGCATCTCTTAGAGTTACAGGGAAGGTTACATAATAAGCTAGCCAATGTTTGTAATAACCTTGTACCAGGAAGCAAACATCAACAACACATAGCAGCAGTGATGAAATCTTCATGGTGGAAGCACAGACCTGAGGCCGTAGAGCACCGTTCCGTCCGGGTGGAGGCGAATCATTCGATTCTTCACAGTAACGCCGTGCACAAAGGATTTCTTGTCGTTCAAGAAGTAAGTGTCAGGCACCCAAAGCTGATCTGCCACTCGGTTATCAAGCGTGAGGTTGAGAGGTATGCCAGCATAAGCCAGCCTCTTATCTCTCCAGTACTGTTGAAAATACATAGTCAAAGTGTAATCCTGGTCAGGAAAAAAAAAAGAGAAGTACAAGAGTCAACCATACTTTGTGTAACTAGGAGAATAATTTCCCTGTGGATAGCTTATTCTGCTGTTGATTAAATTTAAATTTAATATTTTTAAATGTTTAATAAAAATTAAATATTTGCATCACTTAATTAATAGTTCATATCATTCAAATATCACTCTAGACTAAGGGGGCATTTCAACTCCTATGAAATTCAGTAGATATCAGTATCATTTGTCCTGCTCCTGCTTTTCTTTCGTGTAGTTCCACTGACAACTGCCCAAAATTATCATATTTGTGGAATGAAAAATGACACAATGGGTAAATACTGCCATCTTCCCCATTTTTAAAAATGACAGATAAATGGAAAAACATTTAAAGTATTTGAAGCAGTATGAAAATTTCTGCCTGAAAAATAAGCTGAAGGTATGTTGATTATACATGTACGTTTGTGTGAGACTGCATTTTGCAGTAACACTAATATTTTCTCATCAACAGACTACACTGATACTTTGAATAACAGTAAATTGTATTGAAGTTACACAAATATCAATGTTTGGTTTTCATAATTTTGTCAGTTTTAAGGTTTATGGTCTCTACTACAAGCTGTGATCACTAATGTAAAAGCCTAAACATGGATACAGAAGCTTAAAACAACAATTTAAAAATTCTTTATTTCATTTCAGAATTTGCTAACCTGACTTCTTCGTATCGTAATAATGCTATATTGAAATGCTTTGAAAGGCTTAGATGGTAGGCCTCATTCATGAGCTTCATAGTATTATAAAACATTAAAAAAAATGCCTGTGAACATTTTAAAGTTATGTACCAGCAAAACTGAAAAAATAAATCACACAAAATAAATGAGACCGTAAGTACAGGCCATTAAAACTCTGATTTTCAAATTACAGAAGTGCCCTAAACAATAAAACACTTCATGAGATTCTTCACAAAATACTGAGAAATTTATGTGATCTCTAAACTCATTTAAATATTTAGCAGCAGGTGTGCAAGCCACAGGATACCTGCATTTGCATCTGGTTCTACAAGCTGGTGATGCGAAACCCCTCAGGCTCGCCGCTTGTTTGGGAAAAGGATGCTCAAGATTTCCAAGCATGGCTGTTGGGAATGGTCCATTCTTGTAATGGGTTTCATGTGGACACAATCCAATTCCAGGCACTGCTCCTGCCCCGTTTCCCTCAAGCCCTCTGGTCTTTCCTTGAAATTATATGAAACTTGAGCCTGCCTTTCACACTCAGAGACTTTGCATTTTTGATTCAGTGATTCATTCTCTTTAATGAGGGAGCTGCTATGGTTTAAAGAAATCAAATTTAATTGCCTAGAAAAATAAATCATTATAGATATCAAGGAAAAGCTGTTCCCATTTTAAGAAACTAATAGGGGACTTCTGAAAACAAAAAGGCCCAGTGATGGGAGAAAGGAGCCCACGTGGAACTGCCTGGAAGGAATCTCATTCCTCAAACCTCAAATCTGACATGACTGCTCAAGAGAATGAGCTCTAACCTTTTTGTCAGCAGCTTTCTTCAGCAGCTGATGGTCCCTGCTCAGCAGTGAATGAGGTGCATGTGACACTGGGCACACCTGCCTCGCTCCCATTACCATGTCACAAAGGCCACCTCTCTCCTCACATTCCCTGCAATCAGTTTTCTAACACTGATGCATTAGAACAAATGTCCTCTACCAGCTCTGTTTTGCTCTGTTTAATTAAAGCTTGTTTCTATTAACATTCAAAACTTGCTGGCTTGTATAATGGTTTGCACAGCAATGTCAAGAAATTTGGGATTATAAAAGTTGTGGGCAAAAGAACAGTACACCAAAAGCTCACTACAGGTAATTGCACAGTATATGAAGAAAATAATACTAAGAAATTAAATAAAGAAAAGGGGTGGAACTGCATAGCATTGAAAAAAATGAGCTGGCCAGCACCAAAATATAAGTGAAGCGGTAAATCTGAAAAAAAAAAAACCTAAAAACTTTTTGGGCTAGCTTTCTTTTTCCTTTGGTTTGAGATAAAATATATGGTAACATCTAATGAATTGAGTAATTAATTAGCTAAATAAAACATACATAACAATACAAGCACTAATAATCTGGCATTTTATTTTAAAATAACATTTACTGTGTCAGGGAACAACTTTACAAATTATGCACAGAAACAAAACAACCATCAAACATCCAAAACTTACTGTGTCTTGAATGAAAAAAGAACTTCCAAAACACAATCTGTAAGGTAACAAATTTCACTAGTGCTTTCTCTATTAACCGTGTTTACTTATTATATTATCTTAATTTTAAATTTTAAAAATCCCTCAACACCCTATGTCTTTTAATGTTTATGATTATATTTGCATTTTGTACATTTGGGCTCTGCCAGCCTCACCTGCTCTGAAGATGATGACAGAAAGAATTAATATGAACCATGCTTGGCCACCATCACACTTTTTCCATTCCCTCAAAAAAAGGGAGCAACAAGCTTATATAAGAACTGCAGTGAAACTGCTTGGCTGTAAAAGGAGTGATAAATGAGCAAGAAAGGCGAGTTCCTTAGGGCAGCTCCAACAAGTCGCTCACTACCTGCAGAAAATATACTTTTTAAAACCCATATGGATCAGTTCTCATTCTTTGATTAACTAATTTTCAAGACTTTGTGTGTATAAAGGAAGTTTTTCCCTACTCTAGACCCTGGAGGAAAATGCAAAAATGGTTTGAGTGTAGACTGGAAAATATGAACTAGATATTTCAGGTAAATGAGAAAATGAAGTTTTGTCACTCAGTTAGTAGTCAACAAAGTTTATTAAGGGCCACCTCCCTCCAGGGAGCTTCTGATGACTAGTTCTGATATGGAGGTCAAGAGGGTATCTCAGAAGAGATTCATACCACTACAGCTACTGCTATTGTACGTCAAAGATGACACAGAGCTGCCAGCTTTAGGAAATTCTAGATACTGCAAAGAGCAGTGGACAATTTTCTCAGCAGCAAAGACCTCCAAAAAACGTATTTTATTCTCCCAAACAATACAATGCAGCATTCAACATTTACCTCTCCAGATCCTCACAGTAATAACATGTTTCAGGTCAAGCACAGTAACAAAATCACTCAAAGCTCTGACAGCCAACAAACACAGTGCTTCTCAAGTACAGGTGAAATGTCCTGAGAATGGGAAAAGCTCGACTGCACAGGCAACACAATCTTTCTTTTGTGAATTTAAAGACCCTGAAACATCCTACAAGTATAAGAGACATGCTAGGCATCCTTGAATTTCTAGCATGGCAACAATGCCACTAATAAAAGGAAAGGAACACAAAAAGTTGTGATGGCTGTTCTTTCAATATAGTTTTCCCTGGTCAAGGGTATTGGAAAACAGCATTAAAAAACCTCAAATAGTAGGTAACACTTTGGATATTATCAAGATAAGACATTTAGATACAACAATAAAGAGGCTGATTTCACAACTTAAATAGTGTATAATACATCTGTGATCTTTGTGTGTACTGCTTATGATTTTCATATATCTTAAGCAAGAATTATAGACTAATAAATATTGTATGTGCTAACCATGTACAAAGAAATTTTAAGCCTTTTCTACATTATACTTTTTCTCTTGGACTGAGCATACCATGCAGGAAACACAACTAACCCACTCCTAAAAAGCCACTTCAGACAGATAATGTACAGTATATAATGCACTGACTATAAGACCAATTAATGAAAAACACTAATAAGCTATAATAGCAAAGGAAACAAATTACTTGTTTTCTATTACAGGACTTGTTATCTCTAGCTTTCCTCTTCTTCACTCAATAACCGTGAAAGAAAAATTTGAAAAGATAGTTTGCTCATCATAATAAAATTAACATAATTATAGCAGCAATAATGCTCTAAATTTGACTATCACTGTTTGCTGTCTTACTATATCATGAATCACTGATGTTACAAGTTTTCTATTAGCTATAAAAATGTTCCTTCAAAATGATTGCTACATAAACACTGCAATTAATAATTAAGATAGAATACTGTTAATATGGCAAATAAGCAAAAGAAATTCTTAATGCAAAATGAAAGAATATATTGAAAATTATTTTAAATATTGGAAAAAATGATGCAAAAAAGATCTATTTCACTGCTTGTGTGGGAAGACAGCCTTGTGTCTACCTGAAATGTAGTTTCCTGATTTAAATTTGCATTTGGATGTAAATTCACATCCTTGTTTTCTTGACCAAAAGACAAATGTGATTATTACCATCAGTTTCTGTATTATTTAATTTTGATGAGTTAATAAAGTAAGTACTCATTCAGTGGATAAAAATATTTATTGAAAATCCATGCCTTAGTCTCTTTAATAACTTCAAAGTCTCTTCCCTCACCTTCTACACAATTTCAAAAATTAGACATGGCTCCTGTAGTATAAAGAGCTATTTCTGCACCATTGATGATTCAATTATATTCTTCCCAATAAGCCCAAAGTGAGTTGCAAAGCCAAACTCATGAAACCTATGATTTGACAACATATCTGTAAATCTGCCTATTACCCTACCATACGCAGAAGAGAGCTGACAAATAGATTAATGAACACATTAATTCACATAGCTAAAAATGAGTTTAATAAAGATGTTTTCAGAAAGGTTAACCATAACACATCAGAATTTACCAGCACTGCTAGTCAGTTGTGTGAGATGATCACATAAACATTTTTCTCAGAATTCAAAATTTTCTAACAGCTTCAGCAACTTTCATATTAAAGAAAAAAATTATTAAAGATAGCATTTCGAATCATAGAATCATTAATGCTGGATGATTCAATGCTTAGGTATTCTAAGATCATTGAGTCCAACTATTAACCACCATATTCAGCACCAAACCTTATGCTCACATTCCACATTTACAGGCCTTTTGAACACTTTCAGGAATGGTGATTCTACCACTTCCCTGGCAGCCTGTTCTAATGCCTGAAAACTGTATTTTCACATTATATTTT